GTGCTGCAAGCTGTTGGTGGATCTACCATTCTGAGGTTTAAAGAACAGTGGCCCTCTTCTCACAGTTCCACTAGGTGGTTCCCCAGTAGGAACTCTGTGTGGGGGCTCCGACTCCACATTTCCTTTCCACATTGCCCTAGCAGAGTATTTCCATGAGAGCCCCATCCTTGCAGCAAACTTCTGCCTGGGCATCTAGGTGTTTCCACACATCCTTTGAAATCTAGGTGGAGGTTTCCAAACCTCAATTATTGACTTTTCTGTGCACTCACAGGCTCAATTCCACATGGAAGCTGCCAAGGCTTCCATCCTCTGAAGCAACAGTCTGAGCTGTACCTTGGCCCCTTTTAGTCATGGCTGGAGCAGCTGGGACATAGGGCACCAAGTCCCTAGACTGCACATAGCAGAGGAACCTTGTGACTGGCCCAGGAAACCATTTTTTCTTCCTAAACCTCCAGGCCTGTGAGGGGAGGAGCTGCCACAAAGGCCTCTGACATGGCCTGGAGCCATTTCCCCATTGCCATGGTGATTAACATTCAGCTCCTCATGACTTATGCAAATTTCTGCAGCTGGCTTGAATTTCTCCTCAGAAAACAAGAATTTCTTTTCTATTGAATTGTCAGGCTGCAAATTTTCCAAACTTTTATGCTCTGCTTCTCTTTTAAAACTGAATGACTTTAATAGGACCCAAGTCACCTCTTGAATGCTTTGCTACTTAGAAATTTCTTCTGCCAGATACCCTAAATAATCTCTCTCAATTTCAAAATTCCACAAATCTCTAGGGTAGGGGCAAAATGCCACCAGTCCCTTTGCTAAAACATAATAAGAGTCACTTTTGTTCCAGTCCCCAACAAGTTCCTCATTCCATCTGAGACCACCTCAGGCTGGATTCATTGTCCATATTATCAGCATTTTGGTCAAAGCTATTCAACACGTCTCTAGGAAGTTCCAAACTTTCCCACATGTTCCTATCTTCTTCTGAGCCCTCCAAACTGTTCCAATCTCTGCCTGTTACCCAGTTCCAAACTGGCTTCCACATTTTCAGATATCTTTTCAGCAGCATGCCATTTGTGGTACTAATTTGCTGTATTATTCCATTCTCATGCTACTCATAAAGACATATCTGAGACTAGGCAATTTACAAAAGGAAGAGGTTTAATAGACTTACAGTTCTATGTGGCTGTGGGAGGTCTCACAATCATGGTGGAAGGCAAGGAGAAACAAGTCATGTCTTACATGGATGCCAGCAGGCAAATAGAGAAAGAGAACTTGTGCAGGGAAACTCCCGTTTTTAAAACCATCAGATCTCGTAAAACTTATTCACTATCACAAGAAGAGCATGGGGAAAATCTGCCTCCATGATTCAACTGCCTCCCACCAGGTCCCTCCCATAACATGTGGGAATTCAAGATGAGATTTGGGTGGAGACACAGTAAAACCATATCATAAACATACATATTTAACCTGGAAACCAAGAAGGCAGAGTAGGGATGGAGTGGAAAGAACCTTGTTCCAAAAATATATATTTTGCTGAGTTGGAGCTGACATATGAAACCAAAAAGGAATGCTATCTAATCAAATCAAATGGTTTCATGGGAATATTTTTAAGGTAGAAAGGGTCTAGGTAGAGAAACTTCCTAAACAGGTGCTGGGTGGAATCAGAAGAGCAAAGAACCATTAGATCGAGTTTTAGGGGACTCAGCAAAGGAAAATTCCTACCTGAGCCCTGAGAATTAAACCTGAAGCCTAGAATGACAATATGTCCTGTAGGGCTAAGAGGAAGAATGAGCAGGCAGTCTAAGGATCAAAGAGACATGCAACCCCTTAAGCTTAATAGTAATGTTAAACTATTAACATAACCTAGAGCAAGGCTGTATTCAGTAAATAAGGGCACCTATCAATTACTCCTCTACTTCAGCTTGAACTCTATTATTTCATTTTTGTACCCAAATCACTAAGTGCTCAAAGACGATGGTATCTTACTGGATCCCCATCATCCCCTCGAGGGGAGGCTGTTGACACAAGAAGCAGAAAACTCTCCTCTTGTCACACAGCATTTCTGACTAATGTTTATTACTATATTAAGATCTAGCAACTCTGGTCAACTTTGATTTTTATTTGTTTGTTTAGTTTTGGGTCCTAACATTTGCTGTTCCCCAGGGCCAAACTCTATTTCTATCTATTGCCAAGTGATCAGCCACGCCAAATGATCAGCCACACATACCTACCAACAGAGGATTCATTAAGTGATTATTTTCATAAGTATACTACCAGAACCTACCCTACCATCTAGCACAGAGGCCCCTAACCCCTGTTAGGAACCAGGGCGCACAGCAGGAGGTGAGCAGCAGACAAGTATTGGCACCTGATCTCTGTCTCCTGTCAGATAGCGGTGGCATTAGATTCTCCTAGCAGTGCCAACCCTATTGTGAAGTGTACATGCAAGGGGTCTAGGTTGCACGTTCCTTATGAGAATCTAATGATAAATGTAATGCATTTGAATAATCTTGAAACCATATCCCCACCTCAGTCTGTGGGAAAACTGTCTCCTAGGAAACCAGTCCCTGGTTCCAAAAAAGTTGGGGACCACTGATCTGGCACATAGAAGGCCCTCAACAAATATCAATGGAGTGAATGAGCAAATGAAAGTGATCATCAAATCTCTCTATGCAGGGGGAATTTTACACATTTACAGACTAAGGACCCCTTTGGAACTCTGATGAAGCCTGTGGATCCCTTCTCAAAATAGTATTTTAAAACAGATAGTATTATGGAGGAAATTAATGACACTGAAATACAGTTACAAAATTATTTTTTTAAATTGTGAGATTATCACAAACACACTTCTATGGTACAGGCTGGGCTTGCCAAGTCCCAGGCGTTCTATAGAGAGATCTGGCTGGGCCAGTTCAGAGGCAAAACTACTGATGTCATCTGCAGGTTTTTTGTTCTTGGTTTCTCAGAGAAAAATCCTCCGAACTCCTGCCTGGGAAGCCACTGTGCTCAGAGTGAAGTGGCAGAAAGCGGCTGAGGGAGTTTTCAAAGTTGTGTGTGTCCATTTTCACCATACCTGTCATTTTCTGTATCGTATCCTCATTCTTAGCTGTGCCCATTATCCCTGAATGCACAGAACTTTATAGTCTTCCCTTAGGATGAGGAAGACACAGCTGCCTCTATGAACAGGGGCAGAGATAGGATCTGGGGGTCACCTGTTTCTTACACAGACTTTCAATCAATCCTCCTGGGTCCCGCATCACCTGCATTCCTACTTTGAGAGATACCTCCTGACTCCAATTCTTGAACCTTTCCTGGGGGTCGGAAGTACACAGAGCCTGATTTTAGGCTTCCCATGCATGTTACTGTTGTCCATCTTCTAAAATGTGGTTGCTATTTTCTCTTTTCCCTTTTGAGTGCATGTCTATTTTATCCCTTTCCTTTTACTCTTGTGGGATTTATTAAGGAGGCAACAGTAAACAGATTTAATCTGCTACAATTTATTGAAGTTGCCACTAAAATTTTACAAAGGCATAAAAACTTTTAAGAATCAAATTTAGAAGTAAATTCCTCAAAATTCATCTAATCTATTTTATAACTATGATATTTGTATCAAAGATAATCAATTTACTGCAATAACTACAGCTTCGTGAAGGCAGAGATCATTTCCATTTCATTTATTGTATTGCCCAGTACCCAGCATAGTAGAGGTGATCAATAAATATTTATTGTTTAAGTAAAATGAATGAATATACGTGTGATTAAAAAATTAGAACCTTTAATTTTTATAATTTCAGTGCTTATCTCACTCACCTAGGACTGCTTTAGTAATACTCCAAAAACCAATCAGAAATAGATATACCTAACTTGGAATCCAAGAATGATGTATTTTATAACAACAAAGTCCTTCACTACAAAAACATTACTACAATTCCATATTTTATACCGTTTCCTGGATAGAAATGAAACTGACATTCAAATTTACTTAGTTATCTTGAATAACTAGTAGTGTAGAAATAAATGTAACTTCTATTACAGCCACTACATAAACAGTATTTAATTATAACCTATAGATGTACAATTTTAAGTGTCATTAAATGCTTCTGTAATATTAAACAAATTCTAATTAATACTGAAAATTAAAGTCCTCCATATGTAAAATCTGCATATTAGCCACGACATTTTAATTCATATTGAGCAAAAACCAGCAATATTATTTTAAAATTGGGTCTGGTAGATCTCTGTCTTTCTTGTCAAGAGAATTCAAAGGGTCTTCATAGTATGTCCTACTTTGCTATCGTAATGTAAACTGCATATACTTTGCTTTGTGAATCTTTTTTTTTTTTTTTTT